TTATGGATAACTGTTTCATTTTCTCCAAACACCTTTGTATTATTATGCAGACTTTAAATTTTTAAAATTATGCGAAACATTTGTTTGGCGTTATATTCTGTGTCAAGCTATTAAATAGATTTCGAATTGAATCAGTGTTTAAAATATATCAAATCCTTATGCGGCACAAGTTATCGTCACCAAATCATCCACGGCTCCGTCATAGTTTGTTGTACCTACACTAATCAATAACACATGGATTGAAATAAGAAACCGAAATAAATGAATGTTTGAATAATTGACTAATTTCGATGTCAATCACTCATTAAATTATTGAAATATTGTGACAAATAAGGAATTTAACAGCAAGAATTTTCTTCAAATATAATAATTCTAAAGTCACATCTTCAGAATTGTTTAAAACTTCTTACCAATAATGCTAAAGTGTAGACCACCAAATTTTCGAAAACCAACAATTGCATATACAGGACCTGCATGGAAACGAAATTGATAGTGAACTCCAGTTATCGATGATTCATCAAGTAAACGTAACGTACTCAACGGAATGTCTGGGAACGTGTCACTGCAGAGAAAAAATGATGTCCATAGTCTTATCAAATCAGAGAAAAGGCAAAGCCAGCAGAATCGTTTGCCCTGCCCACTTTTGTTGTGACATTTGACTAACAGACCATTATGTTGTTCTGGAAACTGACCACGAATGTCTCCTTCAATATTCTAAACATCCCACCTGAATATCTTTTCGCTATTCTCCGGCTCAGTGCCATTGACCACAGTAAAATGGATTTCATACATCATACGTTAGCTATTTTGTCGAAAGACAAATGATTGAAACTTTAAGCAATGTTTGCATGCTGCTGTAGCTTATACCAATTATTCTATATTTTTTATCTGCATGCTAGTCTGCTATCTGTATGAACTTAAAATTTATTTTAAAAGTTGAATTTCCGAAAAACAAAAGAAAAATATATGTGAAAAAGAAGTATTATAGCAAATATTTATTCGTAATCTCTAATTTCTTGTATTTGCACGTTTTATTCAAGCATATTGTAAGTAATAAGCATGAATTCACAATTCTCTACTCCGTCATTCTTCATTAAGCTTACTGCTACGCAATCTCACTTGAGATTCGAATTATTTTAAAAAGAATTTGCTTTTTCTTTTGAGTTAAATGAACACTTCACAGAAATCATGCAAGAAATAATCTAGCGAGAATTGTTTGTTCCTTCGTTTCCAATTTTTGTAGAACTTGAAATACCTTACCTCCTCCTTTCCACAGTTATTTATCTGCGAGCAAACACTCGCCCGGTAATTAGTACACTCCTCAAGCCAGAAGCTGCTCGCTTTGATTAATGAGATTTCCTTTTTTTTCAATAATCATTACTTCATATAAATTGGTATAATTTATTTTCTGGCCAAATGCACGAGTACTGAGAAAAAAAAAGGAAATCGAAAGGACTAAAAATTTAACACTAGAAATCGAATCTCCGATTCCTTTTGCCGTTATGAATGTCATCAGTTTGCACGAAGTATTTTTGTTCCGCATTTGAACTAATCAATCTTTCCGGGTCAGTTATTACCGAATCTATTCGAATTAGAGAAAGAATGTTTAGTTGATTTAACCATTGATCCTATCCATTTTTATAGGTTAACGCATGCGTTATCGTCTAAGAATTATTAATGTTAATGTAAGTAAATTAACAGGAATGTGGAAGCCGAAACAAATACAAAGTTGATTTGCTTCATTGCAACCATTGGATTTCAGGAATTTGAGAGACCGAAAAAGTTTGACGGATTTGCGAACAAAAGGCGATTTGACTTTTATTCAGCATATATTTCATTTCAGCTTAAGCATATATTTTGCAAAATGTATGCGTTCATTCGCGCCCACTTAAGTCTCTTTTCTTGATGACGGCGCTCATTTGACGCGAAGGGAGAAATAAGGAAATGGGAGAAAACGGTCTTTAAAAACCAACTTTTTTTTTTTCAAAACGAAAGTGCAACAAAGTAACAATTATGGTAAACTTGTTCTTTCGCTTCCACATCATCGGTCCTTTTCCTTCTATTCATGCCTTTTAATAATGTTCAAAGCGTTGGAATATCAGCTCACTACTGATAAAAGTTTTAACCCTACGAATAAGCAAAACTGCTTGTTGATAGGGATGGAGCCAAGAAGAAAATTCTTGTGTTACATACTTCCTGACCAAAAATCAGCAAACTAGTGATTGCTGAGGAGGAAATTGGCCAATTATTACTATATTCATTTATTTTTCGTACCTCGTTTCGGCAACATGAGTTATTGATATAAGTACCACAGTGTAAGTACCACGGCTTTGGATGACCTTGATGACGATAACTTGTGTTGCATAGACTTTAGATATATTTTTAACATTGATTCAAATCACAATCATATTTAACAGCTTGATATGGAACAAACGCCAAACAAAGCCTTGCGTAATTTTCAAAACTTAAAGCTTGCACAACGATACAAAGGGATTTGAGAAAATGAAACAATTATCTATAATAACAGGGACGATAACAATAATTAGATAATAAGGACCAAATAGAGCAAAATATGGGAAGCCTCCACCACGCCCTCGAAATAAACTACTAAAAAAAGTTCCAGTGCTTGTAACGGGGGAAGGGGGGGGGGGCAAAAGAGCTTGAGTAGATTGGCTAGGTCGATTTCTTCTTCAATCACCTCCACTAACACTGAATCTCCGTATTGCTTTACCATTGTTGTCCAATGTCTTAAATTTAAAATAAGCTTTTGCTGGGAAAGTTGGTGCTTAAATGAATACTAATGTTTAATGTGTTATTACAGTTGCGACATTTAAAGGTATGAAACTTATGTTGTGGCTTGCAAAAAGTGGCTTACTGTGGCTTACTGTGGCTTACTCGACCAAAATTATTTGATAAATTTACAAAATAAATTTTGCAAATATCATTTCAATTTGAGTGTTGCGCTCTCCCGATAACCTGTTCCGGAGAATATAATACTCAAACAAACTGAAGTTGGTTTAACCCGGATGGGTGATAATGAATAAAACATACATAATATATTTATTCTTTACTCGTAATAGTATTCATTAATTTGCTGGACTCAAACAATGCCTAATTAAATAAATATCACTCCTCCTCCTACCAAAATGACACCTTTTGAAAAAATGTAAACAAATGCAGACGATCCCATGTTTGGACTAAACAAGTTATAGCCAAATGTTCTTTCTCATGGCTTCCAATACAAAAAAAAGAAAAAAAAACTTTGTTTGTCGAGCAAAATGTGTACAAAAAAAATTTTTTTTTTTGGAAAAACAAAAAACTAATTTTAGCAAGCTACATGAAAGTATAAATCAGAAAAATGAAATCGGAAAACTGATGTAAATGAATCATACTTCCTTGTGCAGATATTAATATCAAATAATTGCATGATAATCACTGACAAAAATGCACGGTATGATACTGACATAATGTTTACGCATTATGACTGGTAATAAATGAAGTGTTAAACATTTTTCCACTTCCAAAACACTCTGCTTCTGGTCATCTATTTTTTCATCCCAAAAAAATATTCTCATCAGTATGCAAGTACAATTAGTTCTTGTTCACAATATGCCTCTAATAAATGTATCAAAATTTGCATAAAGTGTCGAAGTCGAACTTCAGCAATAGTAATTGTACTACTGTATTGTTTGCGAGAAAGTGAACTATTCTTGGTAACGAATTTTCTCTTACAATACATTCATTTCCTTTAATAAGAGTGTAAGTTAATATTAGTACTGAATTATTCTTAAATGTTAAAATATGATATATAATCGAATAATAATCGTGAACGATATTTAGCTAGATAATGTAAAAAGAAACAAATTCTGAAAGCTTCAAATACGATAAAATGCTGTAAAGGACAAAAAGGAGCGGTAATATAAGAAATGCAGCATCTCGAAAAAGACCAATATTTCTACGTTGCTTGTTTTCCGAACTTATCATTTGTCATCTAATTACTGATAACTAGAACATATTCCATATGATAAACAAAAATTATGTGTTATGCAGCTACTGTAACACAGACAGGCATCAATACATCACGCAACTTCTTTTTCATAATATTATCATCCCTTGAACAATTTTATTAGTTTGCAAATCCGACTTTTTCTACCTAGAAATTGCAAAGGTCCGTGAAAAAGCCGATAATGTGAACAATGACGTTTTTATTTCTTTTTTTTTTCGGAAATGGTATAGCACTGGTAATAATACAAGCAATCGAATTATGCCATGTTCTTAAACGCAAGAGCACCTCCATTATCAGAAAATTGGTACCCAAGACAAAATATTTGGCAGTGCTCTCCCTACAAAACAATTTATGAAAGCTATTAACAAAAAAAAGTTACTTATCTACAACATCGAATGTAATATCACCTTTCGCCAAACACCTCCCCATCCTCAATATAATATTCAGCATTTGCACCAGAAATACGTTTCATTTCTGTGAACAATGATCTCATTTCCTCTACACTTTCTAACATTTCCTGGCATAATTTCATATTTTCCTCATAAAGACGTCTGCAAAAGCATCGTCGTCCCCGAAGTTTCGGAACTGACGTAGAATTGATAAGGCTGAAATAAAAGAAAAAAAATATTAAGTTATAAACGATTTGCTATGACCAGAATGGAAATACTTCAAATGAATTACAGAATGGTCCCTTAAAAACTAAAACTTTTCAAAAAATTTTCATCACATGGAAAAATTTTGTCCGGTAGGGAAAGATGACTGTCAAATATTTGCTAGCACTAACATCTCCTCATCCAAAATTGTTCTATCCCAATTCTGCTTATCGGATCCATCAATGAGAAAGCTTTCATTCGGCTCACGAAAAATATTGCATTCTGCTTCCTAAAAAAATTTCAATTTAATGAATGAATTAAATCTTTACATATGCATTTCCCATTGAGACGGCCTCAAATTTAACACCAACATCTACGTTTTCAAACCTTTCATAACTCGGAAAATTTATACTTTTAAAACATCATGTCTCATAAAGATAATATAACCTATATTAAAACATGCGGATACCTTCTCCTAAATGAGGATTTATAACACAACTATTTTGCCTAAATTCCTAAAATTATAGTAACAAATTGATTACCATGAGATTATTTCAAACCTAAGTTTTTAATAACATAAACAGAAGGATGCGCAAATACAACAAAACACTGACAACTACTGCTTTTAACGGAATAATCCTACGATCTGCTACGACACAGAAATTTTTCAAATCGTCGCCCAACTCTCTCAGTGATTCCAATGCTATTGGGGAACATTCCACATGATGTGCTGGATATTCAACGACTAAATCATTTTCTGCTTTCAGCACAGTATGTGTGGATTCTGAAAACTATAAAATTACGAAAGATCTGAAGCATTTTTTTAAGCAATGATTTTTCGTCGAACAATGATAAAAGAAAACTTGAGAGCTCATTTTACTGAGTAAAATTTAGAAATGAAATTTCACAGAGTTTGTTAAACAAGGAAATTCTCAGTAAATCATTTCCAACATTGTAAATGAATCAAATGTATGCAAATAGGTTTCTCTGTGCATACCGTTATCTTTTTTTTGATATAAGTCGTCACATCTGGAACAGTGATAGTGTGTCACTCCCTGAACAGTTGATTTGTCATCCCCATTATAAATCCTTACTGACATTCCATCAGGTTCTGGTACAATCAGCGAAGAATAACCAGTACTGTCGAATGACGACGTACCAACAGAATAGATACTAGAATCGAAAAAAAAAAAGTTAAAGTGAGAGATCAGGAAGTTCCCGAATCTTCCAGGAAGTAAGAAGGTACCAAAATTCACATGAAAATTGTGATGAAAATACTGTAAATGATCTACTTACCTCCTATTATCTGTTGTTTCTGTGATATTGCTGATACATGCCTCGCTTATAAACCTAAAGTAAACAACCATACAAATGACTTATACCTTCTTCTAAATTCAAGACTGAAAAGCTAAAGCCAATATTCTGCAAACGCTGAAAGAAGATGCGTTTGACCTGAATTTCATTTCTTCAAAACTTGCCTCAACAAATAGTCAGTTTCTGACAGTTCACTTTCATCTACGTTGTGATCCAAACTTAATCGTTTTGGTCTCTTACATAAATCGTAGTTTAACTGCATATCGATATTTGAACTCGCCTCAGTTTCATGTTCCATCTAAATACACATGGTAGTTATCAGTTGTTAAATTCAATTTTCATTCAAAAAAAATGAAACGCCGCCGTTACACCTAAAATTCCACGCCTCGATGTATCAGTAGAGGAAAATATAAATGCATGCAACAGTAAGTTTGCGACACAATAAAATTAGAATGAACGAAAAGAAGATGAAATTCCGACAAAATATTAGGGATTATTGGTAAAAGGGAACGACAGAAAAGCACAGCCTATGTGAGTTGCGCTTTTCTTCCGACCTTGCTGATAGTAGATGAAAAGATCCTCTTTCTTTTATAAATAACTTCGTTTTTTGTCAAACATTAATTCGATCTCTAGCTGAAAGTATGTATTGGTACAGCAACTTCACAAATTCAAATAACTAACGAGTTTTTGTGGAAATCTGAGCGATGGATGATTGGAGCTAGTCTTGGCTCGGCAAACACGATCCATTTCTTGCAGCTCTTGGACTTCTTTCGTTACTGCATGACAGCTGGGATAATGCTCGGGATGTGCATTTCCAACTAGCTTCCCGTGCAGTGTCTTTACGTACGGTTTGTAACGTTTTGATCGGGCACCACCTTTAATTGATATAATGAGATCAGAACAAACATTCGCAATCAAATACGATGGGGAAAATGGTTGGGTGGTAACAGTTAACTGGTAATCAAGAAATCCTGCACAATGACTTACCTCTAATTAATGCACTTATTGGTTTTTCTAAAGGCTCTTAGATTAACAACATATTCATTCATTGTAAATCATTATAATGAACAGAATTAAAACGAATCTAATTACCAAAGCTTTTTTTTCGGAGTGACTCGCACTTTACACACCGATAACAAATCGTAGGTTCTGATGGTTCACAGTTCAAAGAGCGATAAATTCGAAATTTCCCTGGATCATTTTTTTCCGCGATTGCAATCGACAGCATCCTTAATTTTGTTGGTTGTATCGGGAAACTCGGCAGTACGAAAAAATTGGGCAGGCTGTAAATAAAAAATATTATTAATTAGTGCTCTTAGATGAAGTAATATCACCAAGCTTTGCCATTCAGCTCAAATCGGTGTCCAATTTTGTAATCTAAATCAATGTTATTAGACGAATAGAAAATGATAGCTGGAAAACAAACATCGCAAATAAAATGAAACTGTAGTATATCGTCCAATATATGAATTAATATCGAATAGATGAGAACAATAAGGGAATCGGAGAAAAATGTTCATATCTCATCTTCTGTTATTTACTCTTTTGCCTGTAATATGTTCATATTTCTTGTTTGGAAATTTCCGTCTTATATCTTAAAAGTTAATATGTCTATTTGAAGAATAAAAAAGTCGCATTACTTACCATTTACGACGCTTACAAAGCGACTATCCATTAAGAAATATCTAAGCAGTAGAAGTCAAGTACTTCCTTACTAGCTAGTACTTCATCACTTTTTCAGTAATTACAACGTATTACGCGTTTCCTAACCGTGTGATATGTTGTTTTACGTAATTCACATTCGTATTTTACATTATCTTAAAGTAATAAATTTATGCGACGTGGAATTGACTAAAGTAAATAATACTAACTAATTCAAACAGTCCTGATTTTTGATCATCAAAATGTAACAAAGAACATTTTTATTAATTATCTAACCCATAAACTATTTTCATTCATTTCCGGAACTCATTTCAACAACTCAATACTACCTCATATATTCTCTCTATCACTGCCACTTTTTTCAATTCTACTCCCACGCCCTTAATTTTTGCCAATATTGAATTTCTCGAAATTTTCACATTATGCATCAATAGTATCATCGAAAATTCTGTCAACTCTCTCATTTCTCTCATATTTTCATATTATTACTTATTTTCAATCTCTGATCAAAATAATCACATCATCTCTAACTTCCTTCCCCTCCTACATCCTCATCCTATACACATATCGTTATCGTTGGCAAAATACAGTCACTGGCATTGGCAAATTGATCCACAAAGTATCGTATTGCAAACTTTCGTTGTAAAAGTCAATTAAATTTTTATGCGCTCTTTTATAACATTGAATTTTGATTGGTTGATGTTTGGATGGGGTATTTTAAGAGATGGTACTATTTGTTAGAAAGTTTAAAGAGGATTTTTTGGCTAACCATTAGATGATACTGTTTATCAAAAAGTTAAAATGAATATGGAACGGTTAATGAAGAGGAAGTGGTTGTAAAATTGTTAGAAAGTTTATGTCAAAAGTAAGCTTTAACAGTTATATGATTATCTTGATTGAAGATTGCGGTAATTTCCAAAAAAAATGACGTCTGTGTGTCAGTAGCGGACACATTGGCAATCACGACAAGCCTAGTAGAGTGAGGCATCATGCATCACTGATATGGATGATCTTTATTATTCTGTTTCATGAAATGAATCAGTTTTTCTTTTTTCTTTGGATCAAGTTTTAGATGTGCATATCAACCCCGTATGTAAAGAGCTTATAATTCACTCGAATATATCTCGAATGTTTCAAAAATTTACCTGAAATCAGAAAAAAAAAATCAACATAATTAATATTTATATGATTACATGGAAGCAAAATTGATCACATATGTAGATGAAACTGTAGCTCTATAAATTGAAAAGTTACAAAGACGGCTGGCTGATAACCCTCAGCTTATTTCACTGTTGTTTATTAATCTGATAAGAGCAATTAGATATTTATCGTTGAAAAACTTACAATTTTCTTTGTTATAAATAAAGGATAGATAATACTACGGTTTTGAGCGTATTTCAAAATTAAACACGACAATGTAACAGTCATTTTTTTTTTTAAAAATGACCTCCAAAAAATAATTGACTAAAAGCTACAACGCCACAATTTGCCGTTACTCACAAATAAATAAGTAACCGGAAAGCCTAGCCTATCACAAATTAATTTTACCGGAGAATCTATCATAAGCGAACTACTTAGAAGCATCCTCTTGATCAATCACTAATGCCAACAATGGGCAGATTGATAGCCATAACAAATCCGACAGAAAAAAAGGCAATATATCAATGATAATAACTCACCAATAAAATTCACAATTAATATTGATTATTTCGTTATACTTATGTAAATTATCTGTTAACACCTTCAGTTATCAGCTCTGAATACTAATAAGCAGCAAAAGTTAGCGAATTGTTTAAATTGATTGAATTAACAAATTGGCATTAAAATGAAGTGTGAAGAACGAGTAAAAATATGTTTTTGTTTAAAAAAAATTGTAAAATAAAGTTTAATTAAAACTTAACATTATAAAAGAAATCTGATGGCACATAGGATATTTTGATATTCCAGTCATTTCTGATATATGCTATTTTATCTGGCAAGAAGCTATGCGAGCAATATCTTTCAACGATTATTAATCATAAAAAAATTGTCTATACTACAACATTTGCTAATATTTATTCAATTTCGATATTTAAACAAGTTAAAACTGTTGTTTATGATTATTTTTAAGCTACTTGTAATTTTTTATTTTTGTTTTTGGAAATATTTTTAAAATTATTTTTTTAAACTATAATATTGTATGTTATGACAATAATGTTATGACATTTTTCTCGATTAATTCAGAGATATATGCATTAGGCATTAGCATATGCAATATATAATATACGTTATATAAATATATAATATATAATAATATATAATATAATCTTTAATCTATTATTTTAGCTTGAATAGTTGTAGAGTAATTTGAAAAAAAAATGGAAAAATTTCATCAATTATATTTTATTTCTGTTACATATTGTCCTAACTTCATTTAATAATCACCTGATGACAAGGATGATCTTTGTTCATTTCGTTTTATGAAAGGAATCAGTGTTTTTTTTTTCTCTCTTCGAATTGAATTTTAAAAATATATATTAATTTATGTTTTAAATTCATTACGTATTAATTCATGTTTCAAATTCATTATTCACTTGAACAGGTCGAATGTTTGATTAAACTCGTTTTAAAAAGTTTTAAAAAAAAATTAGAAATAATCAACATGACTAATATTTATAACGAATTACATGATGAAAAACTGATCACATATATTAAATGAAACTATAGCTCTATAAATTGAAAAGTAAGTAAGTTATAAAGGCTTATAATCTTTAGCTTATTTCATCTGTTGTTTATTAATCTGATAAGAATGATTAGGCATTTATTGTTAGCAAATTTACAATTCCCTTTTGTTATAAATAAAGAGTTGG